AACGGGGCTAAGAGTAAATAACCCAATTCAAAGACAATCCTTAAAGTTCATTACCTCAATTTTAGAGATTTTCAGAATTTCAAAAAAATAAAAATCAACAAGCCACACCATGACATTGGTTTTACTCGCGCCATCCGACTGACACGTTAAACTATCATTCCAGACGTCAATTCAACCCTGACGCGTAGCTAAATTCTCTATTTAAGCGTCTGGTGTATGAAACACAAAAAAGTAGAATATTTATGACGTTAGAGGCAATATTAATTACGAAAAAGGGCATAATTGGAAGAAAAAAGATTCATTTTAGCATGAAGAACAGTATACTGAGGCCAAAACTAGTCAACGCTTGGCGAGTTGGCGCGGTGCAACGGTCTTTTATTCCTCCTTTTCCAACACAAATTCACACACATAGATTCAATAACATAAATTTGAAGAGAGAGAGAAGGAAGGAAAGTGAAATGAGCGGAAAACAAATTTTGTTGTAATCTTGTTATTCAAAATCAATTTAGATGAATTAAGAATATAGAAGGAAAAAGGAAAAAACATGTCATAAATATGGCTTATGTGACCGCATAGTCTTTTGAGGCTTGCGGTCGCATATGGCCTTTCAGAGCCAAAAGTGATGGCCAACGCTATATTCATGCGGCATGTGCGGTGGCATAGTTATAAAATATAGTCGTTGGCTGGGTTTCTTTTGAAAAATGATATAAGAAGAAGATTCTTTACAAATTTGAAAATTTCTTTTTAAAATACATTCAAAAACATCTTCGCATAGAAGAAGAATCAAGGGCAAGATATAAGATCGAAAATTCTTGTGATGATTCTTCAAAAGTTAATGTCGTGGACAATGTGAATAAATCCAACAAGTACAAGAAGAAAGGGACATCTCTTGGTCTCAAAAAGGATCAAAGGAAGTCGAAAACCAAGTCCAAAGGACCTTGCTATGTTTGTAGAAAATCGAGAAACTATGCAAGAGATTGCAGACACAAGAAACAACAAAAGAAGTAAGGAAAAGTAAACTTCATTGAGGAGATTATCGCTATGGTGAGCAAAAATCAATGCAAATCAAAGCACAATTCCAAGTCGATGGTATGACACCTGTGTTGCTATCTATGTTTGTTATGATAAGTCTTTTTTCAAAATTTATCATGACATTGAAGATGGTCAAGATAACCAAACTGAAAATGAAGGAAGAACTAAAGTCATTGGTAAAGGAAATGTGGAGACTCGTGTCTTCCATGTACCAGAAATGAATAGAAACTTAGTAAGTGGAGTTCTATTGGGAAAATCGAAAGTTAAATCTTTTTTTAGTCTGAAAAACTTGTACTGACTCATAATGAACATTTTGTTGGAAATGACTATTTCACTGAAGGAATGGTCAAATTGTGTACTTTTGAGAATGAATCTAATAAAACCAAATATTTTGCTTATGTTGTTGATTCATTTAATTTATGGCATCAGAGATTAGCATATATAGGAGTTAGCACTATAAAAAGAATGGTTATATGTGAAATAATACAATGTGAAGTTGATAACTTAGAAAAATGTGAAACATGTATTAATTCAAAGATGATTAAAAAGCCATTTTGTAGTGTAGTAAGATTAACAAATTTAGTTGAACTTGTTCATTTTGATAAATATGATTTAAATGGCATGCTAACAAAAGATGGTAATAAATATTTTATTACTTTCATTGATAATTATTCTAGGTATACTCATGTATATTTGTTAAAGCATAAAGATGAAGCTTTTAGTACCTTTAAAACATATAAAGTTGGAGTTAAAAATCAATTAGGAAGGAACTAAAAACTCTAAGAAGTGGTAGAGGTGGAGAATACTTCTCTAAAAAATTCAATATGTTTTATGAACAAAATGGAATAATACATTAATGCTCTGCACCACAAACACGGAAACAAAATGGGCTAGCAGAAAGAAAAAAATAAAACATTCTTAGAACTGATAAATACTATGTTATTGAATTCTATATTCCCATTCAATCTATGGGGTGAGACCTTATTTAGTACTTGTCATATTGTAAATAGAATTCTTTTGAAAAAGAATAAGATCTCTCCATATAAAATATGGAAAAGAAGGAAATCAAATATTAATTATTTTAAAGTGTGGAGGTGTCTTATTGTAAGAACAATGATCCCAAGAGAACTAAATTAGGTCCTAAGATACCAAATGTGCCTCTATGGTACATGCTCTAAAAAGAAAGGTCTATATATAGGTTGTTAAACTTAGAGTCACATGTTATAATAGAATCAAGAAATGTGAAATTTTTCGAGAACGTGTTAGTAGCAAGAAAATCCCAAAATAATGGAGATACTCTGAATTTTAGAGAACCATGAGAATAGACATCTTCAAGAGATGTTGAAAGTAAACTTCAAAGAAGTAAGAAAACCAAAAAAGAAAAATATCTAGGATCAAATGAAATAGATTCGCAACTGATTTCTCTCTACTAATCTGAAAATAGGTGATTTACCAAAGGGATCTAAAGTCATTGATTGTAAATGGGTGTTTAGAAAGAAATATAATTCCAATGGAACATTCAATACTTATAAAGTCATGTTAGTAGCTAAAGGATATCGACATGAAGAAATATATATTACTTTGACATATATGCACTCGTGGCTAGAATAACCTCGATAAGGATCTTGTTTGCACTGACATTAATTTATGATTTACATGTTCATCAAATAGATATCAGGACGATATTTTTAAATAGAAATCTCAATGAGAGTTTATATGGAACAATTGGAAATGTTTGTTCTACTAAAAAATGAACGTAAGGTGTGCATGCTAATCAAGTCATTATATGGATTAAAATAAGCCCCTAAAATATAGCATAAGAAATTTGACTCTAAAATAATATCGAATGTTTTAATCATAATTTGGTAGATAAATGTCTATATACTAAAGTAAATGATTATATAATTATATTAATGTCTATATATTAATGATATATTGATCATCAGCAACAATGTAGATGGGATTAAAGAAACATAAAGGTCTTTATTATCCACATTCAAAATGAAAGATTTTGGACAAGTGGATACTATCATTGGCATCAAAGTTAAAAAGGGTAGAGGAGATTTTATATTAAGTCAATCATGTTATGTTGAAAATGTGATAATTAAGTTCAAACACTTAAACATCAATGAGGCTAAATACTCCTTTGGATCCAAGTATCGAGTCAATAAAAAATGATGGAAGAGCAATAGCTCAAATAGAATATGCAGGTGAAATTGGAAGTCTTATGTACACGACACAATGTATAAGACCTGATGTTATATTTGCTATGAGTAAACTAAGTAGGTTTACTAGCCATCCAAGTTCTGAACATTGGAAGGCCATCAGTAGGGTTCTTGATTACTTAAAGAAAACCAAAAATCTTGGACTACAATATATAAAGTTCCATACTATCTTGGACGGATATATTGACTTAGTTGAATATCAAGTGTGGGAGAAAACAAGTCCACTTCAGGTTTGATATTTTCTCTTGTAAGAGGTACAATTTCTTTGAAATCTAAGAAATAGACATGCATTGCTCATTCAACAATGGAGTCGAAATTTGTAGCATTGACTGAAACTGAAAAAGAAGCTGAATAGTTAAGAGATCTGTTATATGAAATATCTATAGATATAAAGGATATTTCCTCAATATCTATCTTGTGGGATAGTCAAACTACTCTAGCTCGGACATATAGCGAAACATATAATGGAAAGTCTAGACATATAAGTCTAAAACATGAGCATGTAAGAAAATTAATCAAGTACATGTTAAGACTAGTGAGAACTTAACTAATCCATTTACTAAACCTCTTACAAGAGAGTTAGTAAGATCGACATCAAGTATGATGGTGTTGAAACTCCTTAACTAAATCCACCAATAATGGCAACCTTACCAAAAGTATACGAAACAAGTATATTTAGGTTCAAAGGATAATAGCATATCATTCGATAAGTGGATAGATCTCAACACTATTAAATTTTTAAACCCAATCCTAGATAAATAGTGTTGGTTGTCACAGTTGGAGGGACGAGTTATAAAAACATTTAATGAAGTTCAGTAAGGGGTACAAATACTTCTAAAAGAAACAAAGATATTGGAAGAACTTCATCTATGTGAACTTCGAGGTAGTGCCGCTTCATTAGAGAGTTAGAGTTTTCTCTCTTTAAAAATTCAATGAAAAGGAATAAGTGCCATATTAGCATTAAGCGAGTCAGGGGAACTTGTAAAAATTTGACACTTGTGTGTGTGATTTCATTGGCATTGTCACAAGGAATGACTAATTCAAAGCTTTCTAACTACCTGGAATTTCGATAATGCTATGTGAGTTTTTTACTATGGTTAGATTCAAATCGAAAGATATCTAATCCTTATACATTAGTGTTAATATTTGAATATGTAATTAACATTGATTTTGAACAAATAGAGGATTGTTGTAATTTTGTTGATCAAAATCAATTTGGATGAATTGAGAATATAAAAGGAAACAGTGAAAAACATGGCTTATTTGACTGCATATGCTTTTTGATTCTTCGGTCACATATGACCTTTCGGAGCCAAAAGTGGCAGCCAACGCTATAGCCATGCGGCCACATGACTATAGTTTATGCGGTTGCATGGCTATGGCTATGGCTATAAAATATAGACATTGGTTGGGTTTCTTTTGAATTTTCTTGTAATTTTCTAATGAATTTATGCAATCGTTCATAGTAAGATGGAACCACTTCGTATAGGGATGATTGAAAACTATATATACACTATCGGTATTCATCTCTAAACACAATGCAAAAGATATTCATCCAAACATTGAAGAAATTATTAATTCTTACATATTCAAAACCTTGTTCATTTGAAGAATTACTTTGCTTTTGGTGTTGTTCATTAATGCTTGATAAATCCTACAAATTATTTGCTATTTAATTATTTAAAAGCATTTTGAAAGAAGATAAATATCGTTTGAGGACAACGATGTTATGGTCTTCTTCGAATATCACATCAAGCTTTGATTTTTTTGTTTCATCTTCTCCTTCATTTCTCTCCATTGCTGTAATTTTCTCACGGATTTTTGGTAGTAACGAAAAAATCAGATAGTTAGAACCTCCAAGATTTGGAAAGAAGAAATCTTGAACAGAAATGGAACGGTGGGTGTGTATATGGTGGAAAAAGTCATCATCTTCAACAAGGCTTTTGGGGTTGATGGTGCCATTAATTGCGGCGTCGCTGCTGGTGGTTTTTGGCAGTTCTGGGTCCTCTGGTGGGCTGTTTTCGTCGAATTATCATCCTTTGGTATGGAGTTCTATAGCTGGAGGTCAACCGGTTCTGGAGAATTCTAACAACGGAGGTAGTGATTCTGTAGAGAAACCAATGGACGGCGTAGAGCCCTGGGACTTGCAGCGGAGAGTAGGTGACGTTGGAGAAACAGAGGAAGCGTATTCACATGACTATGTTCCAAACCAGTCTGTTACGCCACCACTGGCCGTTGAAGAGATAGAAAGTACTGCTCAAGAACAATCTGTAAGAAGATAACCTTTTTTCTCCATTTTTTTTCACTCTCTCTCTCTTTTGTATATTTAGTTATTTATTTATTTTAATAATTCCATCCTTTAAAGAAGAAGAAAACCAGAATTATAAAGCAGTAGAAAAATTCATGGGATTAAATAAGATGAATAAAGAATTCGTTGAGGTTTTGAAGTAATTAATTAAAATAGTAAACAAAATGCTCGGAGCTCGGACCGGCCTAATCTATTTTAGTCAAGAATTGAAAGGTTCGGTTTGATTCTCCTGTTCTCCTTAACTGTTGATTCAAGTATTGGCCCACTTTCTTTTTTCCCAATTGTTTTTGAATTTTTTTTATATTTTTGTACCAAGCAGATTTGTATTGTCTATGCCTCATCTAGAAAAAATAACTAAAATCTAATAAGAAACAAGATTTTGCACATAATTTGAATATTGGCCTGGTTCTTATTTATAACCCCGTCCTAAATTTAGCCATGGTTTTCCAAGCTTGTGTTATAGATGTATTGAATCTATCTTTCACTTATAATACAGCTAGAGAAAGGGAAGAGTTCAAAAACTTCAACGAATGGATCCGCTGTCTTACCATTTTCTAATGAAACTGATACTCGGCCATTAAATTTGAGAATAATAAGAAAATTCAGCAATTTAGAGAGGCTTGAGGCCAAACTTCAGCAAGCTCGGACTGCGATTAGAGATGCACATATGCGAAATCAAAGTCAGGATCAGGACTATGTTCCAGCTGGTCCAATGTACTGGAGTACGAAAGCCTTTCACAGGTACATTTTGCCTCATCACACGGTTGACATTTGTTACATACGAAGTTATTTAAATTTTTTTGGCTTTCCACTCGCCCTTTTCATATCAGGAGTTACTTGGAAATGGAAAAGCACTTCAAGGTGTTTGTGTATGAAGAAGGTGAGCACCCGATTTTTCATAATGGTCCTTGCGGAAGCATATACTCCACGGAGGGAGGTTTTATTTATCGCTTGGAGATCTCCAAGTTCAGGACGAGGGATCCTGAAAGGGCGCACATTTTCTTCCTTCCGTTCAGCGTGGCATCCATAGTTCACTTTATTTACGATAGAGGTACTACTGATTATTGGCGTCCAATGAAACTAACAGTCAGTGACTACATTCATCTTCTTGCTGGAAAATATCCCTATTGGAATCGTAGCCTAGGAGTCGATCATTTCATGCTTGCTTGCCACGATTGGGTAACAAAATTTGCATCTCTTTTAGTATTGGCCATTCTTTGTAGTTTCCCTAATTCCAACATAATTGTGCATTGCGTAGGGGCCAGAGCTTTCTAAGTCCGTTCCGGAGCTATTTAAGAACTCGGTTCGAGCATTATGCAATGCAAATACCTCAGAAGGATTCGACCCCTCAAAAGATGTGTCGATACCAGAGATTAATCTACCAGGTGGTAGAATGAATGGCTTGATTGGTGGTCCATCCCCATCAAGACGACGAATTTTGGTTTTCTATGCTGGAGGAGTTCACGGCCCTATTAGACCTATTCTTCTAGAGCACTGGGAAAACAAAGATGAAGACGTTCAGATTCATAGGTACCTACCAAAGAGTGTGTCATACTTGCAAATGATGAGAAAAAGCAAGTATTGTGTTTGTCCTAGTGGTTATGAAGTAGCCAGCCCAAGAATGGTCGAGGCGCTTTATACTGGTTGCGTTCCTGTGATTATTAAAGATCACTACATTGCTCCATTCAGTGATATTTTGAACTGGAAATCGTTCGCCGTTGAAATTCCAGTGGAGGAGATTCCGAACCTGAAGAAAATTCTAGCCGGAATTTCTACAAGACAGTATATAAGAATGCAAAGACGAGGAATACAAGTGCGAAGGCATTTCGAGTTTAATTCACCTCCCAAACGATACGATGTTTTTCACATGATACTTCATTCCATCTGGCTCAGAAGACTCAATGTTCGACTGCATGGTGTCAAGGACTCTTGACTGGTTGATAATAGGCTGATGGCTTTATTTGCGAAACGTTTGGAGGAGAAAATGAAGAACTGTAGTTAATTTAGGAAAACTGAACAATTTTTTATGGATCAGACAAACTGTATTTTTTCTTTTAACTGTTTGAAGCAAAAGGTAGTATTTTGTATCATACATATAGTATAATATTGTAAAGGCACAGGTTAGGGTGTCACTGGCTCTATAGTCATGAGAATTTCTCAGTTCCTAGCAATTTCCAGTCGGGAAATTGATGTTAAGGGCAAATTCTTACACATTTTTCAATACTCAAATCCTGCCAAGGATGATTTCCACTTGGTTAGTTTCGAGGTAATCGATTTTAATATTTTTTTTTTGCTTCCAATTTTTCCCCCTTTCTAACCCAACTAAACTATCGTGTGCATAAGTTTTATGAAAATTTGAGGTTTCAATTAGTTTAGTTTGGATCCCAAACTACGCGACGGTCAGAATTATGATCATCTTCAAGATATTCTATTTATAAAGAGCAATTTATGTATAAAGAACATTACCTAAAAGTTGGGAAGAACCTCCCTAATTTTTTTTCCAATTTTTAATGCTGAAGAGGAAAATAGATGGTAAAAGAGAGGCTAGAAAGCCCAAATCCCCTATGACCAACTTAAAACCCAAATGAGAGACCCATGCAAGTTGGGCAATGTAATCGAATCCATTGGGTACAATGGCCTCCGTTACTGTGTCCAAGTAAGCGGGAAAGACTTGTTTCTTTATAAACAACTCCAAGATTGCATAATTATTGTTTACAATTTTATCAAATTAGAGAGACAAAATAACAACGATAATAGCAACAACAACAATAAGAAGAAAGAGGCCTACTTTCTAAATAATTATGTAAGCGATCACTCTTCGTTAATATTTCTTATTTTCCAATTAGCTACTACTCAGAGAGCTTTCCAAAACACTCACCTGATCCCATGTAAAAAGGGAATTAGAGAAATAAAGGGGTCTTTTTTCTAGGTTAAAAATATACTTCTTTACTGAAAAATTGCTGTTTACATGAAAAACTTTTGAAAATACAAAATCTTTTACACCCTAATCATGAGAAATGGCTTTTACTAAAAGATAGGAATTGACCAACTTATTAGCACAAAATTCTACACATAAGATTAGCAATTATAAGTTCACGTTTGATTTCAAATTAAGTTGTGATCGACAACAATAACAATAAGAGGCTTCCAATGAAGTAAGGTTGATCGCTATAAATCCCTAAAGTGGCTTTTGATAAACCTAATGAATGATAAAATTTCAACATCAACTTCTAAAATCAACTCTTAACTGCCACGAGAAACATATATGGACGAGTAGAGTCGGAGCGGGAGTCAGAGTCAAAGTCGGAGCGGGAGCGGGAGCCTTGAATTAAGTAGATAGAACATATATAGAACATTAGCTGTAAATTCAAGGGCAAGAAGGCTGCTGAACATTCCAATATGGAGGCATGATCTGATGATCATAGCCATCCACGTTCACAACATAGTTGGACTCATCTGGGACGGTCCGATGAGTACCGCTTGATCCTCTAGGATTATCAGAGGAGGTCGGAATCGAAGTGCTTTCGACCAAAACTTCTGCATTGTAACCTGTGCAGACTTGCTTCTTTGTTACTTGTTCCTCGAGTATTGATCTCAATGTCACAACCTTATAGTTCAATTAAACAAAAAATTAACTATTAATAAAAACAGAACTAGTTCAGTGATCTGGAGATCAAATTCGATGTAATATTTGCATGCATAGGAAGAAACTAGAAAGTGTTAAGAAATGCAAGAACACCAACCTCCTCGAGTAGCTTCTGCTTCTCCCTAGATACATCATCGTACTCCTGCTTAAGCTCATCATACAAGCGCTCAAGCTGCTGCGACTTCCACCTAGCCTTCCTATTCTGGAACCATACTGCAATTTGTCGTGGCTGCAGACCTAGTTCCTTGGCCAGCTTCATTTTCCGGTCAGGGTCCAGTTTAATCTCCTTTTGGAAACTATTCTCCAATGACTCCAACTGCTCACCGCTCAGTCTTTTCTTCTTATCTTGGCTGCACCCATAATTGTTCATCTTTTTCATTGTTGGCAGCACTTCTTCCTGTGTCTGCATTGAGTTCTTCATCTCTAAACCTGAAAAAGAAAAAACACAACAAAAGGGTTGTTCAATTGATGAATTTTTGCCTAGTATCTTCATGCAAGAAACACATTTACAAAATTCTATAAGTTAAGGGCTTCCCATCAACAAAAAGAATTCTGAACTCCTCTGTTACCTTGAAATTGATCATAATTATAGTTGTAGAGGAAGCTGAAAGAATGATCCGGTAGAGAAACTATAGGCACCCTAAGATTACCATTCCATTCCATGTTTCAAGCCCCCGTCTTCTTCTTCCTTCTCTCCCAACTGCCAAATGTCGATCCAAGATCCAAAGTCTTTTTGTGCAACAAAATGAGTACAAAATTTAGTCTTGGATTTTATAGTAACACTTGAGAGGGGTTACTAGTTGACAGTATTCAAAAATGGAAGAGAAAGACAAAAGGACCTCTTAAAACTCGATGGTTCAACTTTGGACACAACTAATAAATACTAGCAACGAAGTAACTTTGGTGCATATTTATTATATAGTATTAAATATGACTAGACAATATAATAAATTAAATGGAAAATTGGAGCAGATCCCTAATATTTTCGTTTTTTGTAGACTTTATTCTAACATTCATTTTGTACTAGTGAAGGTCCTTAACCTTTAATAAATATGTAACTGAGGTCCATTTAGACGGAAACCGTCCGAAACACAATTAGTTGACCATGAAAATTCCTTGAATTATCTGCTATCGTCACGATTTTATTGGATATTGATATCTTTTTGGACGGTGTTTTGGACAATTTTATTGCATGTTGATTCTTTAATTTTTCCATTTTTGACGGTTTTCGTCCAGATGGACCTTAGATTCATATTTGTGAAAGGTTAGAAACTTCTATTGGTACAAAATGAAAGTTAGAGTAAAATCTGCAAAAAATGAAAATGTTAAAAATCGTTGCTACAATTTTCCCAAAAGAAAATCTCAAACGTTTGGGTGAGAAGAGGACGAAATTGGTAATTAATCAAAGGTAACCATCTGGTCCCGTTAAACGCCTGCCCTATCTATATCACTGACAACTTGCTTTCCTTTTCTCATGCCTCTTTCACAAGCTAGTCCCCCACTCCCTAGCCCACCCCAACTTGAGGTGCTTCTTAGATCCTAAGATGGAAACATAAAATCAGTAGTACACAAACTCAATCTTTATCTTAAAAGATCAGTCTTATCGAGAGAACTAATTTATACCATACATGTTGATTATTATATTCATCCTTAGTTCGATGTAAAAATTTATCTTGTTTGTTATTGATTTAAATCATATTTTAATATAAATCAAAGTCAAACAATCAATATTAATAACACATTTCATTGGTTCCACAATTTTTCAGCCACATATTTCAATTTTTTTTTTTTTATATAAAAATCTACAAAAAATCTAATTTTGATATCCACTAAACAAGGTTTCTTCGACATAATTAGTGGCAATTTTATAAGAATACCAATATTAGAATTTGATTGCTCGTTGAGCTTCTAATGGCTTGAATTGTTCATTTAAACTTAATAGATTGTGATGCCATATTGATCTTGAAATTCAATCTTACACCCGTCCGTGTGATGATGCTAATTCAAAAAACCCCAATAGGCAATGAAAAATTATGTATTGTCTTTGACCCGCGTGCCAGGTGTTTGGTAACATATCAATCTTTTTGCCGTGAAAGGAAGAACAACAAGAATAAGAGCAAAGCCTAACAAACTTTTTTGGTCATTGCAAGTATCAAGAGTTTGACAATCAAGAGGATTATAACTTTTTTTTTTTTTTAAATAACTTTGCCACGCATAAATGTCAAGTACTTGTACAATTCACTCACCACCAATCCTAATAAATTAAGGGACAAAATTGTGACCTCCTTATGACCTTGCAAAATAGCCCATTAATGAAAGCCGCCGATCCCCTACCTAGTCTTTGCTGGCTTGGCTTTTTGCCTATTGGATTAACTCATTGCCATCTCTTTGGTAATTTGACATGTGCACCATCCATAAAATTTTAATTTAAATTCAAATCAACAATTCATTTTAATCATATATTTCGTGAAATCACAATTTTTTAACCAAACATTTCATCAATTTTTATCAAAATCTATTAAAAACCTTATTTTAATCTCCAACAAACAAGGGTTTAATATACTCCGTACCTGTATTAAATTGAATTCGATATAATAATGAATAAAATTTTAATTTTTAAAATTATTAAGTAATTATCTAATTTATCCTACTAGACGTATCAAAGTTTTATTTATTTTATTTTATGGGCTCCATTGATATATTAGATCGTGCAATATTGAAAATAATTAGCAAAAGGAAAGCAAAATCTATATCTATAGTTTTGTGCAGCTTTATTTAATTTATGTTTGGCTTTCATTTTCTAAAATTTATTTTTTTCTCAGATTCATTTTCTATCATACATTTCATGAAACCTAAAACTTTTAGTTGATTTCACTTACCCAAAAGAATGTAGTAATGTTTCATTTCACTCGATCCACTAGTCACTTGGTGCCCCCCCCCCCCCCCCCCCCCGTAGTAATGTTTCATTCCACTCGATCCACTAGTCACTTGGTGCCCCCGCTTAGGTATTGAGTTATTCTAGATCCAAAATAATGTGAGCAAAATGCATGCTACTTCGACTACACTATTTGATACTTGTTTATTTTTCACTTATATAAAAAATAGGGTGAAGAGATTAAAGTGCAAAAATTATATCTATAGGAATTGAGCAATTAATGAAACATGTCCCCAAGGCGCCGATACCCTAATCTTGCTATTGTATTTCACATGGAAGAATTAGATGGTAATAAAGTGGTGTGAAGGTACAAGAAACACCACAAGTGCCTGCTTGTACCAACATAAAGGACCTATCTACAAGTTTGTGTTGATTAGATTGCTTTGGTTTATGCAACTCAACATAGGATGAACAGAGGATAATATTAGTATTTTCTTTTCCATTGAAGAATCTATACACTCTTGTCTCGGGATTATTATATTGAATACATACAACTTTGATCTAATGTCCATCATGGACATGACAACATCAATGCTATCACGTTTAAGGTGGACATTACAACGAATGCCCATCGTGAGCATTAGATCATGTGTATGAATATATATCTTAACAATATTTTAGATTTTGTTCTCAAAGTAATTTCACTTGATTCTTGAACTTGATAAGAGTTAAAATTCTTTGTTATGGAAGATCTAACTATTCGATGGATATCGAAATATGTCACCCGATGTAAATGAAGGAGAAATTCCATCATCATATAGTGAACCAACCAATGTATTAATGAAATTTTATGACGTGACTCGAATTTGCAACTTTAAGCTATGCAATTTTATTCAAAAAATCAATGGAATAGTGATTTTACCGTCTATTAAATCCTTGGGTCATCTCTTCATGAGGGAATGAACAAAAAACTAAATTTCTCAACGCCCAACTTAAAAACAACCACTTTCGTTTAAAAAAAAAAAAAAGGACGATAAAAACACCCTAATTAAACAATAATAAAAACCCCAACCAAAAGAAGAACAAAAAGAACATAAATACATTTATCTCTCGGATGACACCATTTCATGGTCTGCCCACAAGCATTAACCGTTGCCGGTCGATCAGTCATCAGTGTGCCATTAGGTCTGACATGAACATGGGATTCGTGTAGAATTATGTTAAATATAAATATGGTATCGAATGATACTCAAAAGCATAGTGGATGCGATTTTCTACATCTTATGTAATATTTTGGTATAGCATACAATCCATCTTACTAAACAAACCAATATAAAAAATATCAAATTCAGCTACTAATACCATATAACTTATTCGAATTAGTGGATATCACTATATTGACGTATTCCTAAAATTTTCCCTAAGCAAGATGCCTACATGCAATAAAGATATCATGGTACAAGTCCTACTCTATAACTAAGGAGAACGCGTAGTAGTACCCACCCGGCAGGAGCAGCAACGCCGCCTAAGATTGGGTGCAGACTTGTGGCCCCGTAAAGCTTCATCAAGAAGCAATTAATGGGAAGGCAATTTTTACAAGGGATCTGCACCAACCACATAACCGCAGGCATCAGCCCTTGCTTGAGCTCTATTATTATTATTATTATTATTTTTAAATTCATTTTTTATCACGTATTCTCTCATAAAATAATTTTACACGCAAATTTAAAATTTATCTCTACTTTTTAACTACACGTTCTCTAGAAAATTATTATTTCAAAAGATATTTCCCCCAAAAAAGGGTTCAAAGAAGACAAAATTTCAAAAAAATTTAGTCCTTTAAATCAATTAATGGGAAGGCATGAGTAGTTAAAAAAATAAAGTGATTTATTGAAGTCGATGTTCATTTACGAAAATGTACAAATTTCATAGCTGTGCTTGGACGTAAGTAGCAGTGTTGAAGTTTTAAGAGATTTCATGGCTACGGTCAAAAAGTGTTTGTTCACCAAAAAAGGCCAAAAAAAAAAAAAAAGTCTTTAAAAATTATTTTAAAGAAGCACAAATTTTTAACTTTCGGAAAGCTCTACATTCACTGTTATGAAAAATTGAAATATGATTTTAATAAAACTTTAAAATTTTTGAATATTTCAAATTTATACCAAAAGGTAAAAGGAAAGTATAATCCTATCTTTCACCCCACTCAATTAAGAGTAATGTTATTCCTAGTCGCTCATTAAGATGGTCGGCATTGTTGACATACACATGACATGTGATTTTTTTTTTAATGCATAAGTGTAATAGTTTTTTTATTGATCCATACATCAATTAGTCATTTGTCATGTGCATCCTACGTAAGATGACTGTGAATAGCTGATAGAATTATTCCTTAATTAAAGCGTACCTTCCCTAAAATTTTTTATATATTTTATTTATTTATTTTAGTTTATCGGTCATATTTATCTGCTAAATGAAACTATAAATTAATTTTTACTAAAATAATTGTGTTAATATTAAATTTATACAATATGTAATTATGAGCTATTCTTTCATAAAATAATATTACAAGTAAATCGAAAATTTTTACTTTTTTTTCAACTACTCATTTTTCAAAAAAATCACTATTCTGCCCATTTTTACTTCAAAAAATGGGGGCCAAAGAGTATGTTAAATTAAAAATGCTTAGCAATTCTTTTTTTCTTTTCTTACCTTGTAAAACAAATTATATGAATTTTATTTTATACATTTAAGTAATAAAATCTAGTTAATTAACAAATTTATCTCAATTATTCGTTTCAATTAAAGCACGCCCGTAAATCAGAAGTTCTTACAGGCAACTTTACGCACAGTTCTAATTGGATAATTTGACAGATTTGTGTTCTACAAAACATAATCTATTGTGAAATTAAATAAAGATGAACACCAAATATAAAGTGGTAAACTACTAAGGAAAACATCCACTGGCTCCCAAATTACGGGTAAAATAATCTACTATCATAAAATAAAAAATACAGTAGTTTCATTTTAATAATTTCGCAAAATTAACTAAAACAATCAAAAGCAAATACAAAACAACTCATTCCTTTTCTTATTCATTTTGACTTGTTGGAAAAGTGGAATCAAACCCTCTGATATTGACTTTATTGCCACTTCACTATTGTATTCAATCGTAACCACTACTTGGATTAAAATTCACTAATCTTAACTCACGCTAAGTAGCTTGATCTTTGAGTCAATTATATCATTCACGCACAAGTGTGTTCTCTTCAATTACAGTTGAAGAACACGATTTTTTGCTTTGAAGTACTTGACTAGAACATCAACTGATCAAAACTCTCTGAAGAAGGTCAGACGACTTCAGAACTTGCTACTACAAGTTTGCCGAACAAAGACAAATTTTTCTCAAAGCCTTTCACATCCTTTAATGATTTCCATTACTTATATAAAGGCCCCTCCAAGACACAAACATGTCTTACCTAAAGTATAAAAGTTTTATTAAAAATCATTTTAATCTAAGCAAATAAATAAATAAATATTGAGTAAAAATATAAAATATATTTTATTTACGATACATATTAGCTTAGTACAAAATAAATAAATAAATAAATAGTAGTCCACCTCTGGCTCCGCCTGATCTACACCAACTTGACGATTTCCTAGCATTATGCGTAATAACTTATTTTCTTCTAAAGTAATTGTTAAAATATATAACTATATTTATCTTTCAGCAACCCCAAAAAAATAAATAAATTCATTCAGAAGTTACTTGAAAGTAAACTTTTCAAGCTTTATCAGACATGCTCAAAGTGAGACATTTTTGAGATGATGTGGTTGCATCAGTATCTCAATTTCAATTCAAATATGGATTTGATTCACTCTCCATGTTCTGAGAAATATTTACCATCCGAAAAGGATGATGTAGTTACAGGGACACAAGGTGATTCCATTGTGAAAAACGTAAAAGTTCACAGAAGATTATTGGAGTTAACAAATAACAAGATTGAGGTGAAATAAATTTCTAGGCATATAATAGCCGTAGAAAAATATTTACTGATAAAGATTTCAAATCAATCGTAGAAGTAAATATACGTTTCAATCATTCAATGATAAACACTCATTTTCTCGTCAGGCATCGCATACGTGCACAATTGTTATAAACGGGATAAACTGGCAGATAGTATCCTTTTTCTGGAATAGCACCATTAAGAAGCAATGTCAGGTTACATTCTGCCATTGTTGAAACAGAGAAAGACTTGAAAGTTTTAGCAAGGCAATTCATTCTATCGGGAACTATAGTGATTACCAAATTGAAATTCAAATAACCTTTTAAGGATTTTCATGAAGTGCACGAGCTGCTACAATTGTCAAAAGGTAAATGTCTAATTCGCTTTCAAATCTACCTCTGTTCTCCATTACAGTGTGGAGAGATGGTGTTGGAATGTGAAAGGTGATATTGGAAAAGCATATAACAATTCTCTTAACAGAAATGAATACAGATATGATCAGTTCTAATATGTCCAGCTCCGGTATGGAAACTAGATCAACAAAACTTGAGGCACAGATCACATGAAACTTGAACATGAGAAACCATAGTTGCGATCTAGACATGAAATTTTGAATGATCTATTGGGTATTCATAAACCAAAGTATATAAACCTGAGAAGTCATGGAAGCATAGATCCTCTGCACCACTTTGGCTAGAAAAAATTTTCTGCTGCTCTTACAGATATGATTGTTCCTCCTCCTCCTCAATAAATGTCATAGCATCATAAGCACAGACATTGCTTTATAAAAAAACTCGCAGCAGTAGATTAAAGAGTCAAAATGCTCATATTTAAATCTTATATTGCAAAAGACCTGATTCAGTAACAAAATTTGGAAGAACAAAGCCCAAACAGCCTGTTTTTATCTTTTGATTTCTTCTATCATGCTATGGAATTGATTTATCTAGTAATGGGGGAGGGGTCACCTATCTTGTTGGACTATAGCTATTGGCGGTGATGATGATGTTCAAGCAACTCGAGCTCCTTCTGGCGAATTAGGAGAACCATTCTCTCATTCTCAAGCCTCAATCGCTCATTGGCAAGCTTCTCTCTCTCCATTTCTCTCTCCTTCTTGGTGCTAAATTTCAACCATTTTAATCGCTGCTTTTCAAGCTCAAAAGCTTGAAACTGGATGCCAACACGCTGACCCTCCAGGTGCATCAATCTTGCATCGATCCACTGTCTTCTCTCAAATGGACTCTTAGTTCCATCTTGCAACATATTCACCAATTCCATATTCAATTGTTGAATCAAAGGCGAATTGAATACGCTCTGCTTCTTCCTTGAAGATCTACCATCTGTGTCATTGACGTCCCCATGATCGTGATTGTGACCTCTTGATCCTCGATCAACCACCTCATCATTATCCTCATAGCTGTCTCTATCATCTTCATCTCCTAACTGAGGTCCATTTAGACGGAAACCGTCCGAAACACAATTAGTTGACCATGAAAATTCCTTGAATTATCTGCTATCGTCACGATTTTATTGGATATTGATATCTTTTTGGACGGTGTTTTGGACAATTTTATTGCATGTTGATTCTTTAATTTTTCCATTTTTGACGGTTTTCGTCCAGATGGACCTTAGATTCATATTTGTGAAAGGTTAGAAACTTATATTGGTACAAAATGAAAGTTAGAGTAAAATCTGCAAAAAATGAAAATGTTAAAAATCGTTGCTACAATTTTCCCAAAAGAAAATCTCAAACGTTTGGGTGAGAAGAGGACGAAATTGGTAATTAATCAAAGGTAACCATCTGGTCCCGTTAAACGCCTGCCCTATCTATATCACTGACAACTTGCTTTCCTTTTCTCATGCCTCTTTCACAAGCTAGTCCCCCACTCCCTAGCCCACCCCAACTTGAGGTGCTTCTTAGATCCTAAGATGGAAACATAAAATCAGTAGTACACAAACTCAATCTTTATCTTAAAAGATCAGTCTTATCGAGAGAACTAATTTATACCATACATGTTGATTATTATATTCATCCTTAGTTCGATGTAAAAATTTATCTTGTTTGTTATTGATTTAAATCATATTTTAATATAAATCAAAGTCAAACAATCAATATTAATAACACATTTCATTGGTTCCACAATTTTTCAGCCACATATTTCAATTTTTTTTTTTTTATATAAAAATCTACAAAAAATCTAATTTTGATATCCACTAAACAAGGTTTCTTCGACATAATTAGTGGCAATTTTATAAGAATACCAATATTAGAATTTGATTGCTCGTTGAGCTTCTAATGGCTTGAATTGTTCATTTAAACTTAATAGATTGTGATGCCATATTGATCTTGAAATTCAATCTTACACCCGTCCGTGTGATGATGCTAATTCAAAAAACCCCAATAGGAAAAAATGTGATCTTGTTGTGTCTGTCAAAATGCAATAACAGGAGTGAGAGAATTCGTGGGTGTTTATACGGTGCATATATATACAGCATTAGCTGGTATTAGTTTTGGGTTGCCCGAGGGCATATCTCCCAATGGCAAATGAGAGGGCGGATAGGGTTCAGCGCGGCAGTGTGCAGAGTTCGATTCCTCGCAAGATGGAATTGACTTTGTTGCAAGCGGGAGTTACCATATGGGTTAACAGTCTTGGCCTATCCATATGCTCTCCACCCTGACTCCTGGGAGACACATCCTGCGATTTACCTCTTCCACGATGGCCCAAAACAGGGTCAGTGGAGACCCTTAAGGTTCGGGTTCAACCTTTTTTTTTTGTATTAGTTTTGGGTTTCCATTTGATGGCAGAAAGAAACTGTTAAATTGAATTCGATATAATAATGAATAAAATTTTAATTTTTAAAATTATTAAGTAATTATCTAATTTATCCTACTAGACGTATCAAAGTTTTATTTATTTTATTTTATGGGCTCCATTGATATATTAGATCGTGCAATATTGAAAATAATTAGAAAAAGGAAAGCAAAATCTATATCTATAGTTTTGTGCAGCTTTATTTAATTTATGTTTGGCTTTCATTTTTTAAAATTTATTTTTTTCTCAAATTCATTTTCTATCATACATTTCATGAAACCTAAAACTTTTGGTTGATTTCACTTACCCAAAAGAATGTAGTAATGTTTCATTCCACTCGATCCACTAGTCACTTGGTGCCCCCGCTTAGGTATTGAGTTATTCTAGATCCAAAATAATGTGAGCAAAATGCATGCTACTTCGACTACACTATTTGATACTTGTTTATTTTTCACTTATATAAAAAATAGGGTGAAGAGATTAAAGTGCAAAAATTATATTTATAGGAATTGAGCAATTAATGAAACATGTCCCCAAGGCGCCGATACCCTAATCTTGCTATTGTATTTCACATGGAAGAATTAGTTGGTAATAAAGTGGTGTGAAGGTACAAGAAACACCACAAGTGCCTGCTTGTACCCACATAAAGGACCTATCTACAAGTTTGTGTTGATTAGATTGCTTTGGTTTATGCAACTCAACATAGGATGAACAGAGGATAATATTCGTATTTTCTTTTCCATTGACGAATCTATACACTCTCGTCTCGGGATTATTATATTGAATACATGCAACTTTGATCTAATGTCCATCATGGACATGACAACATCAATACTATCACGTTTAAGGTGGACATTACAACGAATGCCCATCGTGAGCATTAGATCATGTGTATGAATATATATATCTTAACAATATTTTAGATTTTGTTCTCAAAGTAATTTCACTTGATTCTTGAACTTGATAAGAGTTAAAATTCTTTGTTATGGAAGATCTAACTATTCGATGGATATCAAAATACGTCACCCAATGTAAATGAAGGAGAAATTCCATCATCATATAGTGAACCAACCAATGTATTAATGAAATTTTATGACGTGACTCGAATTTGCAACTTTAAGCTATGCAATTTTATTCAAAAAATCAATGGAATAGTGATTTTACCGTCTATTAAATCCTTGGGTCATCTCTTCATGAGGGAATGAACAAAAAACTAAATTTCTCAACGCCCAACTTAAAAACAACCACTTTCGTTTAAAAAAAAAAAAAAGGACGATAAAAACACCCTAATTAAACAATAATAAAAACCCCAACCAAAAGAAGAACAAAAAGAACATAAATACATTTATCTCTCGGATGACACCATTTCATGGTCTGCCCACAAGCATTAACCGTTGCCGGTCGATCAGTCATCAGTGTGCCATTAGGTCTGACATGAACATGGGATTTGCGTAGAATTATGTTAAATATAAATATGGCACCGAATGACACTCAAAAGCATAGTGAACGCGATTTTCTACATCTTATTTAATATTTTGGTATAGTATACAATTCGTCTTACTAAACAAACCAATATAGTAGTGTAATGATTATACTTAAAATTTAATAGGATAATCTGAGAGCGCGTTTGATTCATTGGAAGGAACGAATCAAAAAATCTAAGCACAACTACTTTAATATTGTTCAATCATGTTCAGCTTCTTATATCAAATGTGCCTGATGAGTAATTTCATTAGCAACATAAAAGAATGTCCTAATACAGTAGTAGTGGAACTAATGGCCTGTTTCCATCGAAATTTTTTCAATTTTTGGTATGTTTGATGGCAATAATTTTCTTGGTAATTTGTTTTTCCTTCTTCCCTCCATACATGTGCAATTTCCTTGGTTTTGTGGAAATAAAAATTGGTTTTCCGGTTGATTATTTATTTATTTTTTAATTTCTTGACAATTGGAACAAATTTTATCCCCAATTAGAACAAATTTTGTCCCTTTAATTAATAATTTTCATGAAAAACAAAGTCAAACGAACACTATAAAATTTTAATATTTTTCAAATGAAAAATTATACCAATCAAACATATTAATTGACAATTATCAGGAAAACGAATTCTAGACAATTTAATTCCTTGGAATTCATTTTCTTCACACCCAAATTCCATTCTTACAATCAAACAGACCCTAAATTCAATCCAACATATTAATCCTGCCATACCATGGCAGATCCACATGAGTTTATGTGGGACAACTCAGAGAATTTTCTAATTTTGTTTGTTTTTGTGTTTTTAACCTATTCTCAAAATCTGGTTATCCACCTTTAGCGGCTTCGATGAATGCCTCAAAACCAAGCAAATAAGGGTTCGATCCATAAAAATAATTGTATGGTAATTTTGACGTTCACAATAAAAAATATCAAATTCCGCGACTAATACCATATAACTTATTCGAATTAGTGGATATCACTATATTGACGTATTCCTAAAATTTTCCCTAAGCAAGATGCCTACATGCATTAAAGATATCATGGTACAAGTCCTACTCTATAACTAAATACATCTAAGGAGAACGCGTAGTAGTACCCACCCGGCAGGAGCAGCAACGCCGCCTAAGATTGGGTGCAGACTTGTGGCCCCGTAAAGCTTCATCAAGAAGCAATTAATGGGAAGGCAATTTTTACAAGGGATCAGCACCAACTACATAACCGCAGGCATCAGCCCTTGCTTGACCTCTATTTTTTTTTTTTTATTAATTTTCAATCATATATTCTCTCGTAAAATAATTTTACACTCAAATTCAAAACTTTTATCTACTTTTTAACAACACATTCTACAAAAAATTACTAATTCAAAAGATATTTTCCCCCAAAAAAAGGGTTCAAAGAAGACAAAATTTCAAAAAAATTTAGTCCTTTAAATCAATTAATGGGAAGGCATGAGTAGTTAAAAAAGTCAAGTGATTTATTGAAGTCGATGTTCATTTACGAAATAGTACAAATTTCATAGCTGTGCTTGGACGTAAGTAGCAGTGTTGAAGTTTTAAGAGATTTTATGGCTACGGTCAAAAAGTGTTTGTTCACCAAAAAAGGCCAAAAAAAAAAAAGTCTTTAAAAATTATTTTAAAGATGCACAAATTTTTAACTTTCGGAAAGCTCCACATTCACTGTTATGAAAAATTGAAATATGATTTTAATAAAACTTTAAAGTTTTTAAATATTTCAAATTTATACCAAAAGGTAAAAGGAAAGAATAATCCTATCTTTCACCCCACCCAATTAAGAGTAATGTTATTCGTAGTCGCTCACTAAGACAGTTGACATTCGTGACATATACATGACATGTGATTTTTTTATGCATTAGTGAAATATAAAAAAGTTAAAGTTTTTTTTTTTTTTTTTTTCCTTTTCTTACCTTGTAAAACAAATTATATGGATTTTATTTTATACATTTAAGTAATAAAATCTAGTTAATTAACAAATTTATCTCAATTATTCGTTGCAGTTAAAACACGCCCGTAAATCGAAGTTCATACAAGCAGTTTTACGCATAGTTCTGATTGGGATAAATTAACAGGTTTGCGTTCTACAAAACATAATCTATTGTTGAATTAAATAAAGATGAACACCAAATATAAAGTGGTAAACTGGTAAACTACTAAGGAAAACATCCACGGGCTTCCAAATCACGGGAAAAATAATCTACAATCACAAAATAAAAAATACAATGTTTCATTTTAATAATTTCGCAAAATTAACTAAAAAAATCAAAAGCAAATACAAAACAACTCATTTGTTTCCTTATTCATTTTGACTTGTTGGAAAAGTGAAGTCAAACTCTCTGATCTTGACTTTATTACCACTTCACTATTGTATTCAATTGTAACCACTCCTTGGATTAAAATTCACCAATCTTAACTCACGCTAAGTAGCTTGACCTTTGAGTCGATTATATCATTCATACACAAGTATGTTCTCTTCAATTACAGTTGAAGAACACAATTTTTGCTTTAAGGTACTTGACTAAAACATCAACTGATCAGAACTCATTGAAGAGGTCAGATGACTTCAGAACTTGCTACCGCAAGTTCGCTGAACATGGACAAATTTCCTTTTCACATCCTTTAATGATTTCCTTTACTTATATAAAGGCTCCTCCAGGACACAAATGTGTCTTAACTAAAGTAAGAAAGTTTTATTAAAAATCATTTTAATTTAAGCAAATAAATAAATAAATATTGAGTAAAAATATAAAATATATTTTATTATTTACTAAACATATTAGCTTAGTACAAAATAAATAAATATCTGGCTCCACCCACCAACTTGACGATTTCCTAGCATTATGTGTAATAACTTATTTTCTTCTAAAGTAATTGTTAAAATATATAACTATATTTATCTTTCACCAACCCCAAAAAAATAAATAAATTCATTCAAAAGTTACTTGAAAGTAAACTTTTCATGCTTAATCAGACATGCTCAAAGTGAGACATTTTTGAGATGATGTGGTTACATCAGTATCTCAATTTCAATTCAAATATGAATTTGATTCACTCTCCATATTCTGAGAAATATTTACCATCCGAAAAGAATGACGTAGTTACAGGGACACAAGGTGATTCCATTGTGAAAAACGTAAAAGTTCACAGAAGATTATTGGAGTTAACAAATAACAAGATTGAGGTGAAATAAATTTCTAGGCATATAATAGCCGTAGAAAAATATTTACTGATAAAGATTTCAAATCTGTCGTAGAAGTAAATATACGTTTCAATCATTCAGTGATAAACACTCATTTTCTCATCAGGCATCGCATACGTGAACAATTGTTATAAACGGGATAAACTGGCAGATAGTATCCTTTTTCTGGAATAGCACCATTAAGAAGCAATGTCAGGTTACATTCTGCCATTGTTGAAACAGAGAAAGACTTGAAAGTTTTAGCAAGGCAATTCATTCTATCGGGAACTATAGTGATTACCAAATTGAAATTCAAATAACCTTTTAAGGATTTTCATGAAGTGCACGAGCTGCTACAATTGTCAAAAGGTAAATGTCTAATTCGCTTTCAAATCTACCTCTGTTCTCCATTACAGTGTGGAGAGATGGTGTTGGAATGTGAAAGGTGATATTGGAAAAGCATATAACAATTCTCTTAACAGAAATGAATACAGATATGATCAGTTCTAATATGTCCAGCTCCGGTATGGAAACTAGATCAACAAAACTTGAGGCACAGATCACATGAAACTTGAACATGAGAAACCATAGTTGCGATCTAGACATGAAATTTTGAATGATCTATTGGGTATTCATAAACCAAAGTATATAAACCTGAGAAGTCATGGAAGCATAGATCCTCTGCACCACTTTGGCTAGAAAAAATTTTCTGCTGCTCTTACAGATATGATTGTTCCTCCTCCTCCTCAATAAATGTCATAGCATCATAAGCACAGACATTGCTTTATAAAAAAACTCGCAGCAGTAGATTAAAGAGTCAAAATGCTCATATTTAAATCTTATATTGCAAAAGACCTGATTCAGTAACAAAATTTGGAAGAACAAAGCCCAAACAGCCTGTTTTTATCTTTTGATTTCTTCTATCATGCTATGGAATTGATTTATCTAGTAATGGGGGAGGGGTCACCTATCTTGTTGGACTATAGCTATTGGCGGTGATGATGATGTTCAAGCAACTCGAGCTCCTTCTGGCGAATTAGGAGAACCATTCTCTCATTCTCAAGCCTCAATCGCTCATTGGCAAGCTTCTCTCTCTCCATTTCTCTCTCCTTCTTGGTGCTAAATTTCAACCATTTTAATCGCTGCTTTTCAAGCTCAAAAGCTTGAAACTGGATGCCAACACGCTGACCCTCCAGGTGCATCAATCTTGCATCGATCCACTGTCTTCTCTCAAATGGACTCTTAGTTCCATCTTGCAACATATTCACCAATTCCATATTCAATTGTTGAATCAAAGGCGAATTGAATACGCTCTGCTTCTTCCTTGAAGATCTACCATCTGTGTCATTGACGTCCCCATGATCGTGATTGTGACCTCTTGATCCTCGATCAACCACCTCATCATTATCCTCATAGCTGTCTCTATCATCTTCATCTCCGTCCTCATCATCATCATCGTCTTCATCTTCCCCACTTGCCCCCTTGGACAATTTAGATCCCTCATTTTCTCCTCTATTCAAGTTAGGCATTACTGGAGCATTTACAGACGAATGTAAACATCTCTGCTGCTGTGACTGAAACTGAGTATGGGATGGCTCTGTTGCCACCTCCGCAGGTGAATGTTGATTACCACCAACTCCACTTCCACTAGCACCACTACCATGACCACAACTATTATGATAAGCACACATTTCCCTGAAAAACAAGTGCTTCGAATTCAGCAATTTTTTGACTTCTTCCTTCATTTTGGGCGATAAATGGTCCATAGAGTCGAGCAAACTTTGATTCTCCACCACTCGACACGCAGTTCCCTTCCCAAGAATATCATTAACCCTCTTGTACCTCTTATTCAAGTCATTAAACTTGTCTTCACATTGCTGTGGCGACACATAAAAGCCTTTTTCAATCATTGCCTGCGACACCGATTTCCATTTCCCTTTCTTCTGCAAGACCCCTCCACCCTTCTTCTTAGCTGGATCACTGCCCTCGGAGCCGACTTCATCACCAATATAGAACACGATCATTATCAACAGCCTCACCATATTATCATTCCATTTCACTCTTTGCCAAGGAGACATTCTCATATTCCCATCATCGGAAATATTCTCTGGTCCAGGCTCATCATCATCACTGAGGGTCAAACTTTGATTCTTTGCCTTTCCAGAATATGGGCGCCATGGTTTCACAGATTGCTGAGTATTTAGGTCGTATTCACCCTCCCGGTGGCCATAGGTCGCCATGGAATTATTTCGGCACTGCTGCTGCTGCGTCTGGTTAGGGTTTTGTGGTGGTAATTTGTGGTTCAGTGACATTTCTAGCCCTAAAATTCCAGGATTTACGCTAGAATACATTCCACCAGGCATAGCATTAGATTCCATACAACTTATAAAATTACTACTACACAAGCTAAAATCTTTACGACTCTAATCAAGAAATTCGTCGGGCCACCTATTTTTCACATATATGCATACAAAATAAAGCGAAACAAACAAAATTTCCCACCCCGAAAACCAGAATACGTTAAGTAAAGTAATACCCAGTTCTTAAAATAAGTATTGAAAACAAGAATTTCAAAGAGAAACATATAAATACGAGAGAAAATGAGATGGAGTAGTAGAATCAACAGAACCTGAGAAAGATACTCGAATGAGCAGAAACTGTAGCATTTGATCACTCTTTACAGCTTTATATAAATCTCGAGATAAAAGCAATAAGAAAAAATATAGCGGCAGGAGATAGTGATTAGAAAAAATGTGATCTTGTTGTGTCTGTCAAAATGCAATAACAGGAGTGAGAGAATTCGTGGGTGTTTATACGGTGCATATATATACAGCATTAGCTGGTATTAGTTTTGGGTTGCCCGAGGGCATATCTCCCAATGGCAAATGAGAGGGCGGATAGGGTTCAGCGCGGCAGTGTGCAGAGTTCGATTCCTCGCAAGATGGAATTGACTTTGTTGCAAGCGGGAGTTACCATATGGGTTAACAGTCTTGGCCTATCCATATGCTCTCCACCCTGACTCCTGGGAGACACATCCTGCGATTTACCTCTTCCACGATGGCCCAAAACAGGGTCAGTGGAGACCCTTAAGGTTCGGGTTCAACCTTTTTTTTTTGTATTAGTTTTGGGTTTCCATTTGATGGCAGAAAGAAACTGCCGAATGCCCACAGAATTTTTGCTGGGTGGGGTAGGGTAGGGTGCGAGTCCACAGGATTACACAAAACTGTCAACTGCGACACTGATATTTTTTGTGTTGGACCGACCTTTTTTCATTTGATTATCAATGAATTAATCAGAGCCGTTGACTTGGGATTTGCAATTTGAAGCTTCAAAATATTCAGGTCTCCAAACATGTGCTTTTCAAAATCCTATGGTGCGCAGCGTCGTGTACATCTTAGGTGAAAGATTGGTGACCAAAGGGCCCCACGTGTCCACAAAATGAGTATTCCCGTAGGATCTTTGCTTCTACGGGCCTGGCCCAATGGGCTCTAAGAGATGCCAACAAAACGGGAAAATTTCATAACCAATTTCAAAATTAAGAAATAATGTTTGAAATTTCAAAAATCAGATATTAATTAAATTTTATTTATAAAATAATTAATTAAATATATTAAGATCACAATTTTATATAATTTGATCAAAAACTATCGAATTAAGTGGTCACAAAAGTTTTTTCGTCACAAATTACAAATTTATAGGTCACAAACTTATTTCTCGATCACAAATTTATTAAATTAATGAGTCAGGAATTATTTTAAGTCACAAATTACCAATCAGTAGTCACAATTTAACACATTTTTAAGTCACACATTTTTTATTGATATTGGTCATATAATATTTATTGGTCATGCATTAATCAATTTATTGTCGCGGTCAACCAAATAATTTGTGACCATTCCTTCGACAAACCACCGCCACCAGAACCATCACCACCACCTTCACCATCTCAAACAAACAAACAAAATGCACCATCGTGACCACCATCTCCACCATTGTCAAAAACTATCAACTGCACCACCATCTACACCATTGCTGCATCGTCGAGCACCATCGTTGCACCAACGCCGAACACTATCACTTGCACCACCATGACCGTCGAAAGAACTCGTTATAAACTCTCTCCTCATCGCCTACCAACACCACGCACACTACCACCCAAAGCATCGCACCATTGCACCCACATCACAAGATCACGATGGAGGAAGAGGGAAGACGCGCAGCACCATCAACAGATCTAGCAATGTTGCCGTTGGCAGCGCTCTCCGACGATAGATTCTTGAGACCACCTCCAACACTGCAGCACTGCATCGACATCACTACACAGCCAAATTGAAGATGGGGAGAGAGAGAAGAGGGTGGAATGATTTTAGGGTTTGTGACGGGGGCACAAGAGAGGAGAAAGATTGTAGGCGGTCGCACAAGAGAGAGGAAGAAGAGGGTGAAGACGCGCAGCACCATCAACAGATCTAGCAATGTTGCCGTTGGCAGCGCTCTCCGACGATAGATTCTTGAGACCACCTCCAACACTGCAGCACTGCATCGACATCACTACACAGCCAAATTGAAGATGGGGAGAGAGAGAAGAGGGTGGAATGATTTTAGGGTTTGTGACGGGGGCACAAGAGAGGAGAAAGATTGTAGGCGGTCGCACAAGAGAGAGGAAGAAGAGGGTGGAATGATTTTTAGGGTTTGGGAAATAATTGAATTTGGGTTATGGGGGAGGTTAGGGTGGATTATTATTATTATTAGTAATTAAAATTTTATTTACATCTGATTTTTGATAGAAAATCTTGTAATTCTTTATTATGAATTGTGATTTTGAAAACACTTAGCTCTTGTAATTTCTACCATCGAAAATGAGAAATCGATGGAAATGGTGCCACTTCTGTCCAAGCCCCCCCTCCCCCACGCCAGAGAGAGAGAGAGAGAGAGAGAGTTCTACTCATTTCTAGTTTCTGAATATAAATTACTTTTTATATATAATTTGTGTTGTAAAAAAAATTAAAAGTACAATTACCATATTTAAGCTGTCTTCAGAGGACTCTAGTGTCTGATTCTATTTGTCTATGTAACAAATTGACCTCGATATACATTACAAAAATCAATTAGCGTTTGAGCAATCATAATGTGTTTTAGTGATGGCAAAAAAACCTGCTCCGCCTCGTCCTGGTGGGGCCCCACCCCAAATGGGGTAAAAAAACCCCGCCCCGATGGGTTGGCGGGGCGCGGGGCAGGGTGGGGGTGCCCCGCCTCGACCCCGCCCTGTGAAATATTATTATTATTATTTTTTTTTTTTTACATTTTTAAAATTTCAATTTATGTTATTATAAGATAATAAAATACAAATGTAAAATTTTAATTAATTACAAAAGAAATAAAATTTAGTAAAAACGTGATTTTATTTGAAATTGTTTAATTTTTAACATTGTTTATTTCAAGTGTTTACTTTGAATTTTAAAATTTTGAATTTATATTTTATTCTCTAATAATAAAATAATTTGAAATTAAAAATAAATAAATAAATAAATAAACGGGGCGACAAATGGGGCGTGACCTCGCCCCGTCCCGAACCCGCTCCACTGCCATCCCTAGTGTGTTTAGCTCTTTGCATTGTTAATGGCAATAGCATCCATGTTTCTAAGTGATCTCTAAGTGCATTGTGACTTCTTAATTATTTCTACGTGTTCCTGTGAAAGTTTACGCCCTCTCAACGGTGAAAACAAGTGCATTTTCAAGCTACTTGAATACTAGCACAAACTCTATGTACAATTTAAAGTATACCATTAGGTCCAAATTTGTAATTAGCAATTTTTGTATTCAAAATCATGAGTTATTGAGTTGTAATTAAAGTCAAAATAGTTGTGAGTTGATAGTATAGTCATTGAAAGAGTAAAAAATGTCAAATATGGACCACGGCGAAAAAGTTGGTGCAAAACTACTATTTAGCCACGCGAAGAGTGCTCGAGGGCTCAAAATGGGGCCTTGTCGCTCGTTTAGCACTCAAGCGTAGAAGGCACCACTAGGCGCGAGGTCAGAGCTTGAACTATGGTGCAACGAACAAAAAGTCTAATATGCGTGAAACAGCTATTTTCCAGTCCTATTTCACCCCAAACACTAACCATTATAAATATACAAGCCATAAAATGCTTTTAGGGTGTTAAATCATTATTTTACATTAGAGATCATATTATTGAAGATTCGAAACCCATTCCAAAGATATATAAATTCAACCGAAATATAAATTCAACCAATTGATCAATTATCCGTAATTCATCCCAAACATTGTTTCATTAATTTTAGTCAATAAAACATCTTTTGAAGATCAAATCCATATTCTATTCTCTTGCTTCAGTCACAGATCAAAACATAAAAGATTATTAGATCAAATGCCAAATAAACCCTACTCTCACCTATATGTTTTTAGAGTTCTGAAGTGGGAAATTCCAATGTGAAGAAAAATGTAGTCCTGATTTGTTGGGAAGTGCATGTCGCACAATCAAAGGAATTTCTCAGTAATTTAAAAGTTAGGTGATCAAAGTCAACTACGGTTTAACAGTGTGTGGGCTAATTGTCAGTTAACTTTTCTAATAAATTTTATTGGAAGTTTTCCTAGAGGTGTTTGATGCTGAGAAGGAATTTCCCCCTATGATCATATTTAGTGTTATTTACTTTATTGCTTTTGGTCTATACGTTTATGTAATTGTTTAAACTTAGGACTGATTAGACTAATTACTTTAATTATATAGAACAATTAAGTGACTTGTTACTTGTTATTTAATGCTGAGAAGGAATTTTCCCCTATGATCATATTTAGTGTTATTTACTTTGTTGCTTTTGGTCTATACGTTTATGTAATTGTTTAAACTTAGGACTAATTAGACTAATTACTTTAATTATATAGAACAATTAAGTGACTTGTTACTTGTTATTGATTAATTCCGCATATTTAAGTCTAAATAATTTTCAACAATTAGAATCAAACATGAGTAATTTACATATAAATCAACGAGAAACAACTTGATTACGCTTAAGAAGAACTATTGCACAGATATTCTTTTTAAATTCTAATAAATACTTATAGTGGTAGATCACATACATTCCTTTGACACGAACACGACATGTTGGTATAGCAATTTCAATCCCTAAATTTAACATGATTCAACATGATCTGCAAGTGACTAAGCACTTGAAAGAGAAATTAAATTACATTATAATTCAAAATCAAAAGGAAGTCCTCAGTCCATACCATAAGCAATGGAATTGGCAAACCAGAATATTACTTGTCCAACTAGAATATAGAGTTAGGGCAATGCATCTTGATCAGTTGTGGCAAGTGAAGGGGAGAGGGAATTTCGAGATTCATCATAGTCTTCTCCCATTGGAGATTGCTCCACCCTTATTTCCTCTATCATTTTAACCACTTCACCCATTGTTGGCCTCTTCTCAGGCTGTGGCACTACACAAACCATTGCTATATGCAGCATTGACACCAGTTCCTCCTCAATGTTCTTGTACCTGAAAATGTTATCTTCCGGTTTAAATTTTTAAATGGTGTGATTCAACTAGTGTTCTAGAAACTAGACCGGAAACAAAACTTACCCTTTTCAGAAAATAATTTACATGAATCTAACACTATAAACTTTTAGATGAAGTAGTTGAATTTACCTTAACAATTCTTGATCAAAAACTTCGGCCGTCCACTCGTCTCTCACCACGGATCGAACCCACTTCGGTAAATCCACTGACTGCTCTTCTTCGTCAAGTCGAGGGCAACTCGGTGATGGGTAATGTGATGGAGCTTTGC